AGCTGAGAGCCAGATGTAACAGGCACTTTAGGTCTATGTTTTGGCATGAATTTATTATAACCAAAGCCCTCATCATAAAACTGTATATACTGAGGAAGGCTTGGCTGAACATTACATAAATGTTACATCCCCAAGGCCTCAATGGAACCTCAGGAAACTAATCAACAAATTCAAAATCAGAAAGTCAGAAAAGTATTGAACACTGGAAGAACAGAAAGGGGGAAAAATGCCTTTTACTTGTGTATTATCTGCCTGATAGTGTATTATCTCTAATTGTGTATTAAAATAAAACAAATGTAAGCATCTCACTGAAACTAAAATAGCAGGGGAAAGCCTTAACTATCCACAGAGCAAGAGTGGTGCTGTACTCATTACTACAAATTTAACAATAGTCAATGGGAAATATATATGTACTTATATAGTCTTTCATAAGTTCATGTACTACCTAAAATTCACTAATCCTATTTTTTAGAGTTAAGTTTTCAACCACATCTATCACTAGGATTTTGAGAGACTTAACTCCCATGGTTAAGAAAAAAGAAACTTCTATAAATTACTTAGCTTCTTATTATATTTTGTCTCTTCAGTGAAACACAAACCACTTAAGGCAGTGGTTCTCAACCTTCTGGCCCTTTAAATACAGTTCCTCATGTTGTGACCCAACCATAAAATTATTTTCGTTGCTACTTCATAACTGTAATGTTGCTACTGTTATGAATCGTAAATATCTGATATACAGGATGGTCTTAGGCGACCCCTGTGAAAGGGTCGTTCGACCGCCAAAGGGGTTGTGACCCACAGGTTAAGAACCGCTGACTTAAGGCTAAAACTATGTTTTTTTACCACTGTAAATCCCCTCTATATAATAGTCTACATAGAGTATATGCTCAATAAATGTTTGTTCATTTAGCAATTATTGAAAAACAAAGTAATATATATCAAGGAATATATACAATATATTATATATTACATAAAATATATATCTCATCCTATATAATAAAAGCCTAATATGCTAAGTGTCCAGTCGTCCGGTTATCCATTGAACCAATCAAAGCGTAATATGCTAAGGCCGCTCAACCACTCACTATGACGTGCACTGACCATTAGGGAGCAGATACTCAATGTAAGAGTCAGTGCACTCCCACAGGGGGAGCACCGCTTAGCCAGAAGCCAGGCTCACGGCTGGCAAGCAGAGGCAGTGGCGAGAGCCTCTCCCGCCTCCGCAGCAGCACTAAGGATGTCCGACTGCCATGGGAAGCAGGCCTAAGCTGGCAGTCAGACATCCCCCAAAGGCTCCCAGAATATGAGAAGGCGCAGGCTGGGCTGAGGACCCCCACCTAGTGCACGAATTTCATGCACCAGGCCTCTAGACCTATTAATAAAAGCCTATGTGGTTGTGATGCCCTCATGCTGTAACGAGTGATCACCAGGAGGCTGCGTGCGCAGCAGGTGCACCCGGGTAGGCAGGGCTTGATGCTGTGTGCTCGGTGTGGAGGCGGGTCCCATGGCTCTGGCCTACCTCTCTGGGGCATCCATCGAGGGGCCCTGGATGGGTGGGCAGGGCCTACCTCTTTGGGGCAATGCGATCGATCGTGGGGCTCCCACACTGTGAGAGGGCACAGGCCAGGCTGAGGGAGACCCCCCCCCCCCCCCGCTCCAGTGCACGAATTTCATGCACTGGGCCTCTAGTATAAATATATAAAAAGGAGACTTCTGAGTGTGGAAAAGACCTGCCATCAAGTAGTTTATAATCTCTTCTCTTATATCCTATTGATATTTTAAATATGTCATAGTTTGGGGGTAGGGGTTGAGGGAAGGGAAAGGAGTACACAGATTAGCTGTTGTTGCTGTTTAACAATCATCATTTCAAAAGTATGCCAGAATTTCCACAAAATTCCACCAACATGAAAAAATCTTTTCTCTAGAGACTATTATATACACTGAATCAGACCTATCCCCAGATCTATTTATGAATGAGCTAATAATGACTAGAGAATAACAACACACTCAAATAGGTATCAGCACTGAATATACTGCTTATTAACTGGAAAGAAATAGGATTATGGCATTAGCAGATCAAGGAAATAAAATAGGAATATATATTTGAATATCTGTAAGAGTTCATAAGAATCAAGCAAGTTAATTTGCAGGCTGCAGAATTTGTTTCAATTTGGCTGAAACAAAAAACAAAAAAAAACAAATCCTAGCCTGGCCAGCATGGCTCAGTGGTTGAACATCAATCTATGAACCAGAAGGTCAAGGTTTGATTCCCCATCAGGGCATATGCCAGAGTTGCAGGCTCAATCCCCAATGTGGGGTGTGCAGGAAGCAGCCAATCAATGATTCTCTCTCATCATTGATCTCTCTCTCTCTCTCTCTCTCTCTGTCTGGTCAATAAAAATATATTTTTAAAAATTCCTAGGAGCAAAGAGTAGAGATAAATGTCAATATGGATAATAGAAGCATACACTGAATGTCTGGAATCAGAAATTACTTAGGTCTTGTATCAAACATTTTTACTAATACACACACACTAAACTTTAAAGGAATACATAGCTATAAGAATGAACCAGTTTCTTTAAAAATTATAAATGAATGGCAACATATAAAGAAATTTTATGCAAAAAAGCTATTCTAGAAAAAACATAAGCCAACATAAGCAACAACTATATGAAACAAAATGGGGGCGGGGGGAATAAAAAATAGCAAAGAGCCTACCAAATATTAGTAGAAATGTGCAAATCATATAGAAATATACAATACGACAAGTCATCATAAAAAACCATGCCGTTAAGTGGAATCCTCGTACTGATAAAACTGTATAATGGTGCAGCCACTGTGAAAAATAGGTAATTCCTCAAAAAGTGAAATATAAAAATACCAGTAATTGCATTCCTAGGTATATAATCAAAAGAATATCCAAAACAGGTATTTGAATAAATACCTAAATATGAATGAATGTTCAACAACAGCACTGTTCACAACAGCCAAAAGGTGGAAATAACCCATGTCAATCAACAAATGAATGGATAAACAAAATGTAATATATTCACAGAATGGAATATTATTCAGCCTTAAAAAGAATGAAGAACTGATATGTGCTACAACATGCACAAATCTCCAAAACATTATGCTAAGTGAAAGCCAGACACAAAAGGTCACATATTGTATGCTTCTATTTAGATGAAATATCCAGAATAGGTAAATGCATAGAGACAGAAACAAATTAGTGGTTGCAGGGTCTGAGGAGGCAGGAATGAAAGTGACTTCAATGGGTACAGTGTTTCCTTTGGATGTGGTGAAAATGTTTTGGAACTACATAGATGTAACGGTTCTACATTTCCAATGAACTAAAAACCACTGAATTGAGCACTTTAAAATGGTTAGTTTTATGTTAATTTCATCTCAATAAAAATACAGATATCCCCCAAACAATGAAATTCTTCTCTACAAATATTTGATAATTTAGTGACTAATGATGTGTCTCTCCCCTTTTAAAACTAATTCAGACATATATACCTGAATCCATCTTCTACTTGGCCCCTCCCACTCTAATCTACCAAACAGGTATAATCTTTCCTTCAAAAGTTTTTTCCTTCTAAAAACACTATTAGATCTTCTTCATTCTGACAAAACTTTACTTGATTTTGCTCTATGTTTTATTTCTTTTCTACATACTATATCTATGTACTATTCTATTTCTTTTCCTCCTTTTGCTGTCAAATTCTCAGAGTTGGCCTATTACAGGCTGAGGCAGCCACCTGTTTTTATAAATAAGAGTTTGTTGAAATAACCATCCCAGGTCTGGTCAGTGTGGTTCAGTTGGTTAGAGCATCCTCCCATACACCAAAAGGTGGCAGGTTCAATTCCTGATCAGGGCACATACCCAGGATGCAGGTTCAATCCCCAGTCGGCACATGCGGGAAGCAACCAATCGATGTTTCTCTCTCACATCATTTCTCTCTCTTTCTCTCCACGCCTCTCTCTCTCTTAAAAAAAAAAATCAATTAAAAAAAAAAAAGAACGAACGAACCATCCCATTTCTTAGGTATTGTGCCCACAATAAGGGCAAAGTTAAGTAGTTAGGAGATCCTGTGGCCTGGAAACCTAAAATATTTCTTATCTGGCTCCTTACAAAGTTTGTCAATCTCTGGAGCTCCAGAGCATGATCTCCATTCAGTATCAACACTCCTCAGAGGGCAAGTGGGTACCATGAAAGGTTTTGGAGCAGCAGTAAAATACTCTGAGTAAAAGGGCATTTCAGGACCTTTATAGTGTGCAGGGAAGATATATTTTAAAAAAAAAAGGATCATTTAGGAAACTATTGCTAGGCATTGGATATAAAAGATAAGACATGAAAGGCACTTTTTAAAAGGATAAATATCAATACTAGATGACTACTTGTGACAGAAGAGACAAAGCTAACACCGAAATTTCAATCCTGTGATGTGGTTCTCAGAATTTGCATTCTCTCCTAGTCTACTGCACACTTTTAGCTTTTCAGTTTCCTACCTTACTTATTGTGGCGCTCCTGCAATCTTAATATTAATTCCATATCCTATGTGTACCAAGCATTCCCAATGCTTGCTACCTGAATAACTCCTAGGTAAGCAAATCACTTAAGAAGCAGCAGACCCAATAGAGTTGGCTGAATGAGAGCATGGGACCAATGTCAGAGGTGGATGGAGTACTCACCTGTGGTACCAAGCAGAAAGAGAGGGAAACTAAGATTTCAGGTCCAGAACTGGCTCTAGCCAAACAGGAAGAAGCAGCTATGAAATTGCTTCCAGCAGAAGCAGAGTTTCTTTGATATTTTGACATACTCTTTCTGATGTTCAGACAGACCACCATTAGAGTAGCCTTTGGTAAGAGAGTCTCACAAGAAACAAGGCAAAAAACACGACCAAAAGGTGAGGAATTAAATGGAGCAGACCCTTTTTGTCTAGGAAAAGTCTTCTAAAGATGATACTACTTTTCAAAATGGCCAACATGATACTAACCTTCATTAACAGAGTTATCACATCCCACAAGATTGAGAAGGATATCATCATCTTTATCCTCAACTCCACATCCCAGCAGCATCCAGCTTTCCACGTTGTCACTGTCTGAAATGGTGCTCTCTTCCTCTTCACTTGAACTGACTTCTATAATCATAACCTCTCGGATCATACCTGATTTCTTTTCAGGTTTAGGCTTCTTAATATCCTTCTTGCATTTCTTACCATCCAACTCATGAGAATGAAGAGAAGCAGGAGAATCTCTGGTCTTTTCTTTTGCTTGGACTCTTAAATTCTTTCTTTTACATCTATAAATACTATCTTCATCGGACAAAGTGATGACTTCTGACCCATCTGATAGCTGGATGACCTCACTATCTGAAAGGATAATTAAGTTCTTTTGATTTTGCTTACTACTAGATGATTCAGAATCCCCAGAGTTCTTTTCTTCATGTTCTTCCTCCCTGATGATATTATCAAGATCTTGAGCATAATGTACTTGGCTGTAGAGCTGAAATTCCACCTCACTATCGACACTCAGTTCACTAGATGACTCTTCACGATAAAGGTCATCTTCATAAGCTTCTACAGTCTCATAACCACCAAACATCATGAAAGTCTGTAACAGTGATGCTGTAAAAGAGAAAGTCATACAAAGAACGTATTTTTAAAACTCAGGTCATGCCTGTTTAGTGCTAACTTCTATACAAAGGCTATCATTTTTCTCAATAACATGTTAAAATACCTTTTTTTCACCCTGGCCAGGTGGCCTGGGTTGCTTAGAGCATTGGCCCATACACAAAAAGGTTATGGGTTCAAGTCCCAGTCAGGATGCCTATGGGTGACAAATGATTGATGTTTCTCACATCCATCGATGTTTCTCTCTCGTCACCCCTCACCCCTTTCTCTCTCTAAAAATCAATAAAAACATATCCTTGGGTAAGGATTTTTTTAAAATAGCTTTTTCTCTTGGAACATCTTTTTTTTTCAAGGATTTCTAAATCCAATTATGACCTACTCTAATAATGCCCACCCTCCCAAATGAAAATTACTACCAACAAATTGAGTTATAGTTATTAAAGAAAATGATGTATTTTGCAGGTATGTTGGAAAGGAAAAAGGTTGTAATCCATTGCCTCAGACACCTAATACTTTTTCTCCAAAATCACAAATATATTTATGTAATTCTCACTATTCTACCTCTCCTCCTTGGTTCTGGATCTCATCTTTTTGGTATACATTCTCATATAGGAATATTACTTCAGCTATGACTAACATCTACAATGGGTAACAATTTTATTTACTGTTTTTGTGTAGACTTTTATTCTCAGTTTTAAAAAATAGCCTAACCGGTTTGGCTCAGTGGATAGAGTATCAGCCTGAGGACTGAAGGGTCCCAGGTTCGATTCCGGTCAAGGGCATGTACCTTGGTTTCGGGGACATCCCCAGTGGGGGGTGTGCAGGAGGCAGCTGATCGATGTTTCTCCCTCACTGATGTTTCTAACTCTCTATCCCTCTCCCTTCCTCGCTGTAAAAAATCAATAAAATATATATATTTTTAAAAATAACCTCATGGCTTTCTAATCCTTAACCAAATTATATATATATATATATCTGATAAACCTGGTTTACTTCTGTGCCAGCTAAAAGATAGGTATAAAATATAAACTTACTAAGGACCTGAAACTGAGGCAGAACTCAGCTTTGGAAGAACTTTACTTTCCGACTGTGAGCATATTAAATCCTGTCATCCTTCAACTCTGCTTAAGCATCACTTCTCAGGGAAGCTTTCCTTGACCCACCAGATTAAATTAAGTGTCTCTTTCATAGGCTTCCATAGCACTTCCAAAACACCACATTTCTAATTACTAATTTAAAGTAAATCTCCCACAAGCACTGATCACATACTCCAGGAGAGCAGGAACTATATGCATTTGGTTAACAATGGATACCCAAAACCCAGCAGAGTAACTGCTATTTTAGCAGGATCTCTATAAATGTCTGTTAAATTAATAAAGAATAAATCATCAGGCATTTGTTCTTCGGCCATGATGTCTAATATGTACCTAAAATAAGAAAATTATGATGGGATTTTCATAGTTGTCTCCAACTATTCCAACTATTCTCATGTCATCAACCAAAAATCTACATAGATGTTTCAATTAGGTACTGATGGAATATTGATCAAAATGAGAGCTCTGGAAAAATAACTGATGTTTTTTAAAAAATCAGGGACAGCCTAGAGAATAACAATGACAATCTATTCTTTCTACTCCCCTTTTATCTATACAGACATAATTTAGAAAGACTAGTCATTTTCTTAGTTTACCAATTCTCTGCCCAAAATGTCAGGGTGTTCTGATGGTAGATTTGGTGATAAAACCAGCTGACTCCAAGAATCCTATATAATAAAAGCCTAATATGCTAATTGTCCAATCATCCGGTCAACTGTTCAACCAATCAAAGCATAATATGCTAATGATATGCTAAGGCTGCTCAACAGCTCGCTATGATGTGCACTGGCCACCAGGAAAAAGATAGTCGACTGGTCGACCAGTAGCTATGACATGCACTGACCACCAGGGGGCAGATGCTCCAACCCATAGGTTAGCTTGCTGCTGGGGTCTGGCCAATTGGGACTGAGCGAGATGGGCCAGACATGCCCTCGAGCCCTCCCGTGGTCTCTCCCATCCTGGCCAACCTCCCACGGCCCCTCCCTGGCCTGATTGTGCACTGTGGGGTCCCTCGGCCTGACCTGCACCCTCTCACAATCCAGGAGAGTCATTTTTAGCCCTAGCCCTCAGGCCACTCCCCTCAGGAGGGCGCCAGACACAGGGCTATGGCTGGCAAGCGCTGCTGTGGCAGCATGAGCCTCTCCTGATCAGGACTGATGGGCGCGAGCCTGCGGCAGGTACAGTGGGGCCGGGATGAGCAGGAGAGGCAGGTAGGAGCTGCAGGCAGCAATGGACTTCGGGTTTTGGCCCTATCCCCGCAGGCCACCCAGAGAGGCCCCACCCATGTATGAATTCGTGCACCAGGCCTCTAGTCAATTAAATAAAAGCCAATGAAGAAATAAAATTTTTTTACAGAAAAAAAGAAACCAATTTTTGTTGTGTATCTTAAACTTAGCCAGTGTTGTATGTCAATTATACCTCAATAAAGCTAGATTTTTAAAAAGATGATTAAGTAATGAGTTAACAATACTGTATTGTATACTTGAAATCTGCTAAGAGAACAGATCTTAAATGTTCTTACTGAAAAAAATAAAAGGAAATATGTGAGGTGATTGATGTGTTAACTAATCTCAATGTGGTAATCATATATATGTATATCAAATCATGTTCAACACCTTAAACTTACACAATATTATTTGTCAGTTATATCAATAAAGATAGGAGAAAAGGAACAAACTTTCAATGCCTTTTTTCTTCTAAAAGGTACATTTTTTTTACCTGTTCCCTTCTTGCACTGTCCTTCAGGTGGCTATGCAGTTATAGTCATACAAGTTGAATGTGGCTGTCTGAATAATAATGCTCATAGCATTTATCAGTTTATATTGAAATGTTAGCCTCAGAGGAATTCAAATAAAAGATGAATCCTTTCCTTTTCATTTAATAGGTAAATTAATTCTAAAAGAAGTCAAAGGAATTATGCTTCCCTCAAAATCCTCACTGGATCCATCCTGAGGATCCAGTGTGGACTTAAGATAAAACATAATTCCAGTGCAGCACAGAAAAAAATTAAAGAGCTAAATTACAGAGTTACAAATTTGTACTACTCTTGGAGCCATCCCAAAGGAAAGGGATTAAGAATAGAGCCATAGGCACACCTGTGAATGTATGCCAAAAATAAACTAAAGAAATATAATAAAAACTGACTTCCTTGGGTCTAAGGGTTTATCTCTTTCCCTGAAATGTAGAAAAATGAATTTAACAATTTAGCCCCTATGGCCTTTAAGAGGATTTTCTATCTTCTGTACTTGAAAATTGTGCTCAGCATAACTTGCTCTTCTATTTATGTAGTTTATATATGCCAGGGTTAAGGTTTGCCTGAGGCTGTTTTGGTTTATGTTACTACTTTAATTATATTCAAATGCATTTATTTTACTTTTTTTTTAAAGTGTATACTTAGAGGATTAATATGAAATCTTGATTTAGAAGGCTTTCTCAGCTTTTTTATCAAGGTACACAATTCTCAAGCATACTTAACTAGATAACATAAGGTCCCTATAAGAATCACAAAATTTTAAGTCTGATAACCTTTCAGATGATCTCACTCAACATCTTCAGTTTACATTGAAGATGTAAAATGAAGTCCAAAGAGATAAAGAGGCCTACCCAGGGTTTGGTACCTAGTTGAAGAATATAACTAGGGCCAATTCACATTCCCCTAACTTACAGCCAAGTGTTCACTAAGATGTTGTTTTTTTAATTTTTAAAATAATTCCAAATGAAGATTTTTTTTAAAGCCTTTCTTCAAAGCTATATTTGAATTGGTTCTAACACTTAAATTTATTTCACGAATATCCATTTTAGCTCCCAGTGGAGTAGAAAAACCATGAAAGGCAATTCATACATTTGAGTTTGTCAGTTTAGCACCCAGGAGCCTCCCAACTTGGTACTCAAAGATCATAGACATCCATCCCATGACCAAAAAAGATTTAGGTTATGTTAAGAAACTTAAATATTAGTTTGGGGATGAAACTTAAACAATTAAAATGGCTTAAATCAGCCGCAGAGAATGACTGTGTAGGCTCTCAACATTCAACAGTGGGAGCAGTAACCCCTCACTGAATTTTTAAACTAGACAACGGAAGGCTTATTTAAGCTTTTGGGTTTTACTACACAGTCTTTAAAGCCAATGCTTCGGCTCTAACAGTCTACCTTCTGATCATGCTGGGCCTTTTGCTCTTACTTCCTTGCCAAGAACTTTGAGCCTAGGTGTTTTTTCTTGGTAACAGAGGTATCCATTCTCACGGAGGTGTAAATTGGCATCTTGATTTTAAACTCAGTTTTCAATGGAAAGTGACTAATAGAATTTATTTTCAACTTAAAACCTGACTTACTTTTAAGTGAGCTATCCTGATGGTGAGATATTAAAAACTGTTGACTCTAGTGTTAAAGTCTGTCCATTCCTCAAATGTGACTTTCACTGGGGAGCAAATCTGACTGGAGTAGAGAACCCAGAGAACCGTGTGAAACAATAGTCACACAAGAGGGAGAATACGAGATGTTTACTGGGAGACAATTATGCTAAATTTATTCGGAAAAGTCCAGCTGTTCTTGGGATGCATGAAGCCCCCTTAGGATCATTAATATCAAAAGCACTTCCTTCACCTTTCCCTCATCTCTTTCCTTTCGCTAGACAGTACTTTATCTTTATAACTATCTTAATCCCCACTTCCACGTCCACAGCTCGTTCCCCAAGAGCAATACTGAACGTCCCAAAAGCATAGTACTGTCGAAGTATACACAAAGCCCCCTTAAAAGTCTTTGGATGTGATAGCCTAAGTGTTCAAAATCAAGTTTTGGAAAAGTCCTGAAAGAGTGTGAGGGAAGCTTGTTTATTCTTCGAGCCTGAAAGATCTCCTAATTCAACGCTGTAATCTGAAATACGGGTGAATCCAGCCTGAAGATGAGATTCGCGGTCACCGGCGAGGCTGCACAGAACCTCGGCTACACCTCTAGCCTGCCTCCCCCTCCAGCCTGGCTACCCTTCCAGTCCAGCCTGCCTCCCCTCAGGCCTGCCTCCCCCCTCGCGCTGCCGGCTCCAGGCAGCTTCCCCGGCGCCCCGGCAGCTCTTCAAGGTGAACTAACTGCGGTTTCACGACATGTGAGGGGTAAAGGGGATCTTGGCGAACACAGCCCACATCTCCCCATTTTACAGGAGCGAAGGGGCACATCTCCCGAAATGTTTCTGGCCCTTCAGCTGCTGCTTCTGACCACAGAGGCTGGACTTGGCCGAGGACTGTTCGGTCCTCCCAGGCTCGGCCCCTCACGGTGCGGCGGGACCTCCGCGTTCAACTGACTCATCAGCTTCCCTAACAGACAGGAACGATCCTGGGGTCGTGGGGGTAAAGCAGAGAGAACCGCCACCCCCACCGAGGCCAGGGGCGCCCAGCCCTGTTCGAACCACGACCTCGGGCTGTGGCCGGGCAGGGAAGAGCGGACACCTCAGCTGGGCAGCCGAGCCGCGCAGGGCACAGCCGCACGGAGGGATCGCCAGCCGCGCGCCCCGCCACGAACGAGGGACAGACGGGGAACGCGGAGGCCGGCGAGGCGACACGCGCCAGTTCCAAAGCCCGGCGGGCGAGGCGGAGGGCGAGCGGGGGTCCCCCGGCCACGGGCCGCGCGGGGTCTGCCACACACATACTCACTGCCGCGGCTGCGACCAAGAAGCACCAACCAGGAACCAAGACGCGTAGAGGGACGGGGAGGGGCGAGTACAAATGAGGTAAGAAAACCGCGTCCGCGCGGACTCGGGAGGAGGGCAGGCACTTCCGGGGAAAACACAGCTCCCGGGAGTCCTCTTCCGTCCCGGCTCATCCCGCGGGACCTCTGTACGCATGCGTAACATCGGTTAACCCTTTCCTTCCCCGCTCATAATCTTTTGGTTTGTCGTCCTTGCTTTTCCCCTTTCCCTTCACTGCTGCTTTCAAAGATACCTAGGCTGCATCTACAATAGGGGACACTTTATTTGAATGACTTGCGCGTTGGAAATCCTACTTCCCTGATAAAACCAGGGGGGGAGCTCGCACCCTTCCTTATGCGCCCGCGAGAAAAACTACATCTCCCATGATGCCCCTGGGCCGGCTTCAGGACAGGCTCCGCCTCCTTCTCTCGGGATCGGTTGGGTCACCCTCCCTACTCCCAATGCCACGTGGTGCGGGTCCCCAACCGTGACCGAGGTGGGGACAAGGGCCCGAGTGTGGAGTGTCGGGTGGCATGGCCGGCTGATCCAGGGACCCTCAGGGAGAGCGAAGCCTCTTCGAGAGCGCCTAGCTTCTAACTTCTCCTGTGTGCTTGGTGAACCTAGGCAGGTACCTTCCGCCGCTAGTTTGAAGTTGAACCTAGTTGGTACTGGGGCGTTTCCGGCTGTTTTTACAGGCAACAGATGGAAGTCTCTGTAAGCCTTGAAGAGCTGTACTCCTGCAGAAGGTTGAAGTGGTCCTTTAGAAGCCTCCGGAGGCTATGCGATTGTGTTGGAAGCCTCTGGCTTTGGTTCCTTTTCTCACTTTATTTTAATTCTTAGTAATAATAAACCCACCTGTACAACTTTACAAATAGTAAAGCACCTTTACTGGTATCAGTTCGCTGGCCCTTGGCAACAGTCCTGAAAGACAAGTTTGACATTGTTTCTTTTGGCCAACATTTCTTGAACCTCAGTTGAGAGGGACACAGTATTAGCAACTGCTGATGTAAAGTTTGTGATCTCATAGAGCTAAGAGTCTAGCTGGGAACACAAAATACAAATAATTTAATTATAAATCTAAGAGTTTGGCTGGGAAAATTAGAAATATTAATTAAAATTATGGTAAGTGCTAGGAAAGAGGACGGTGCAATGAAAAGGTAAAATTGAAAGACCCATTTTGCAGAGGAGGAAACAACTAAAGAGATTACTAGATTGCTTAGGTAATGTGTGTTGTGTAGAACAAATGTTTTCTTAATAAAATAGTTTATTGAGCTTTTATCTAATGCCAGGTTGGTTTTTAAAAATTTCCATTTCACAAAAAGAGGAAATCAATTAAGAGAAGTTAAGTTGTGCCCAAGACCAAAAGGATAGAAATACTCCAAATTACTGTGCCCAACCCTCACGCATTCAACCAAGGTTTACTACGTTCCTTTGTTCAGAGTGCTTTAGTCACCCGCCTTTAGGTTATTTCATAAAACCTAGAGTCCTTTGGATGGCATAAAGGGCAGTTCATGAGCTGAATCTGCCTACCTGTTAACCACGATGCTAAATCCTGGGCAGTAGCCAGAACACACTATGCTCTCCCACATCTGTGCCTTTGCATAGGGCACTCCCACTGCCTGTCAAGTCCTTCTCCCTGGCTCTGCCCACCCCCTGGGTCTTCAGGGAAACCAAACAGAATAGGTATTCCTTCTAGACTCCCCTACACTTTGGATAAACCTCCATCAAAGCAGTTATATTGTATTTATCTTACAGTTTCAGATGGCAGAAACTTTGACATTTTATCTTTGTATTTTCTCCAGCTAACATAATGCATGGTAGACAGTAAGCACTCAATAAAGTGTTAAAGGAATGAAGCCACTCTAACTCCAAGGAAACCAAGAACCAGATGTGGATCCACCAGCTATGACAGTGTGGAACCATGTCAACCCCCAATAACTGCAGTGTAGTGCTCCATGACATTAAGGTAAGATATAAAGAGCTGTAGGGGTCCCAAGGATAAAAAGATTTCTAAGGAGAGTGGTGCATACACACACACACACACACACACACACACACACACACACACTGCCTTTACATGATGAGTTCTCATTTAGATGGCTTTTAGAAATAAGATCCAGTCTCCTATTGCAGTGATGAGGAACTGAAGCCCAGAAGCAAAGACTTGCCAAGAGTCACCTAACAGGCAGAACTGTGTCTGCGTTCCCCTTGGAGGTTGCCACAAACACAGTATTTCCTTTCCACCTCATGCTATCTCTGGTGCGCACTTGAGATCAGGAGTGACAGCATGCACAACTATGCTGAAGCCTCTCTTACAGAGAACGTTCTAAAGAGCACATTTATTTGAGGAAGGAAGCACCTGCTTTCCCCAGGGCAGTGGCGATACTGTATTAACAGTAAGCAGATGAATTGGGGTGAGGGGCCCCAACAAAGGGGCTTGCCTTGCTACAGAAGGCAGGCAAGGTGAGGGATGTACTGTAGCAGGATTTAGGCAAGTGGCACATAGTACTCATCCTTACCCTCTGTTGCAGAGGGAGGAGCTACCTCCTTTCTTTTATTCTGATTTATTAGTAGTTCCTAGAACCTCTGAGAATTAATCATTTTGACCTCTTAAAAGTTGCTTTTTCATTACTATTCATTCACTGAGAGGCTACTATGTAACAGGCCCTTGCTAGCCACTTGAGTTATATTGTCTCTCTCCCCTTCTCAAGTTGACTCTGTAAGGGAGATGTTAACCCATTTCACTAGTACAGAAATTGCAACTTGGTGATGCCATGTGACTTGCTCTAAATCACACAGATTCAAACCCAAATCTTGTCTGAATCCAAAACTCATGCTCTTTTCTGTGCCCAAAGTTGCCTTTTAAAACTAAACTCCTTGAGGGTGGAGACGATGAATGGCCTGCTCCTATCTCTACATCCAGCACCTAGCCCAAGGCCAAGCACATAGTGAATTCACAGAGAACGCTTGTGCAATGAGTGGATCCAGTATTAAATGTCTGTCAAATGAATGCTCCCTCCTCTGCTGTCCCACAGTATGAACAGTGTTGTGGGTCAGTAGAGGAGGGAGCAACTGGCTGTTTAAGGGAAGTGGAGAAACCCCCTCTGTCAAGGAGGAGGCCAAGCAAGTACTCAGAAAGAAAAAGACAACAAGCCAGCATTCTAACAGCAAAGAACACCAACAGGCAATTCACAGAAGAAACCCATAAGGCCATGAACTATGATAAAGAGGTGCTCAACATCAGTAATCATCAGAAAAATGCAAATGATCTCATGGAAATATAAATTGGAAAAGCCCTTTACGGGAGCTTTTTTGATAGTGTCTATCAAACTTGTAAATGAGTTCAGTCAATGTGACCCAGTGGTTGAGCGTGGACCTATGAACCAGGAGGTCACGGTTCGATTCCTGGTCAGGGCACAGCAGTAAAAGAGACAGGATAAATGCAATGCACACTCTGGGATTTTCTTTTGCCATAAAGGGTATTGTTGGGACAATTTGAAAAATCCAAATAAACCTAGTGCTGTATCGATGTTATTTTCCTGATTTTTATATTTATATTACAATTATGTAAGAGAATGTCCTTCTTTTAGGCTATCCACACTGAAGTACTTGGAGTAAAGAGCATCATTTGAAACTCATTCTCAAGGGGTTCAGAAAAAAATGTGTTGGGGGAAAGGAAAAGGAGAGAAAGAGGATGACATGTGGTTAAAAAGTTAACATTTGGAGGATCTGGGTAAAAGGTAGACAAGAATTCTTTATACTAATTTTGCAATTTTTTTTCTGTCTGAGATTATGTCAAAATATAAAATTCAAAGGAAAAGTTAAAAAAAAAGAATGAGTAAGAGTTCACCAGATAGAAAAGACAAGGGAATCTTCTGGCAAAAGAACAAGAGAAGCAAAGGAAACTGACAAGTGTGAGTGGCATATGTGGAGAAACAACCATTGGCTCTAAGTGTCCAGAGCATCGCATGGTGTGGGGAGAAAGGGACATGGGGGAGAACAGGAATGATGAGCAACCCAAATCACAAATGGACACATTTCCCCGCTACCTAATACTGGAAATGAAGATTTACAATCTTTATACCCAGCCTCAAGCCCTGAAAAACACACACACACACACAAAATTGAGTTCTTGCTGCATAGAGATTTCATTGGCAATTTCTCTTCATCCAGTGACTATAGAACAATAGCTGAAAGGGACAGCTAGTACAACTCCCTCATTTTGCAGAAGGGAAAACTGAGGTCCAAAATGGAGAAAGGATTTGCAAAGTCCCAGCAAAAGTTAGTGTTAACACTGGCATCCAGTTCACCATCTATCATTCTTTCTCTGGCACCAAAGTCTTTTTTTTTTTTTTTATGGAACACTTCATGAATTTGCGTGTCATCTTTGCGCAGGGGCCATGCTAGTCTTCTCTGTGTCATTCCAATTTTTAGTATATGTGCTTCCGAAGCAAGCACTCGGGCACCAAAGTCTTAAAGACTAAAGCAGAAATAGAGGCTGGCAAGTGAAATGACCTTTAAAATTTAGATGTTTTTCACTTGCCACAAGTACGGACTTAATATCTACAATTTTAAAATGTAATTATGGAAACGGTTGTCACTAAAAGCCCATACTTTGCATCTGGTAAGTGCTGCTCAACTCAGGCTCCTAGTCTGAAGCAGCAATCAAGTTAGTTCTCAGGAATTATCAATGACATTGGTACCCATCTGGCTTTCTTGAAAAGTTTAACATCCTTTTTTATTATTCATGATTTTGCAGTTCTTCAAATTGCAAGGTGATGGAGAGAGCATGCAATTTTCATCCAGGCTATGAAATCATTCTTGAATTTTGGACATTCATATAAATGGATTTTAATTTTTCTTAGAGACTGCTTTTCCTTATGAAATCATGAAATTGAAAATATATGTACTATAAATTAAACTGTAAAATATTCTCATTACAGTAAAATCCAAAGGATAAGGAGTTAGCATTTCAAGGACTCTGTTTTCATTTGTCATCATTCCTAGTTAGAAGTATATTCCTCAAAGCTTACATCTAACTGACTATATGACTAGCAAAACTATTGAGGTTCTAATTTATTTAAGAATCATTAGATTCCATACAGGACATCTCGAAGCATGTCATCAGTAATGTGTTGACATAATATGCACACTGCAAAAGGCATGTCTTTATTTTAAATGTTCATGAACCCTGGGTCCCACAGAATTTTAATGCATGAAGGGACAGGGATAGACCTTATTCAGTTCTCATTCTATAAGGGGGCAACTTTCTTCCCCTGCCTATCTCAGACTCCAGATTCATGCAGTTTTCAGTCCAAACGTGTCTTTGCAATGACATTTGTGTGAATTATTTTATTCAGGATTGTAGATTGACAACAAGTAAAGATTGAGAATAATCAAGATCACCTTATCAAGTAAGTTTTTTAAAATATATTTTTATTGGTTTTAGAGAGGAAGGTAGAAGGAGAGAGATAGAAACATCAATGATGAGAGAGAATCATCGATTGGCTGCCTCCTGCACGCCCCCTATTGGGGATCGAGCCCACAACCCTGGCATGTGCCCTTGACCAGAATCAAACCTGGGACCCTTCAGTCCATAGGCCGTCGGTCTATCCACTGAGCCAAACCAGCTAGGACCCAAGTGAGTTTTTTATACAGTTTACGTCACCTTAAGCAAACTTATACACAATAAATTATAGCTGTTATGCTTTGTGTTTTGGACATTAACCCTTTGCACTCCGAACCATTCTGGACATTGGCTACCAGCTACTCGACGCTACTTTGTGGCGGAAACGTGCATTTACAGACCCTCGTATTATTTAGTATAATTTTGGAACCAAGTAACGTATTATAATTATATTGGACTTATATGAATTGGGTGACATCGAGGAATGTATATTTGCAAAAAAAACAATATTTTATTGTTTATAATTTTGTACAGTATGATAAGTTTTGTAACACTCCCCAATATGCATTGCAGGCTGATTAGTGCATGTTTGACAGTAATAAGTGGTTTGACACCTGCCACCAGGTGTTTTCCTGTTAGAACACACAATGCAGTCCCGTTTTCTTTGTCCCACATCGGGAATATGTAATTTATTGTTTAATCTGACACAAAACCCGCTGACATTTCTTGTATATATCTTAGTAATTTTACGATATTTTGATTTAATTTCTTGTGCCATTTCAAGATAAAACTTCAGGGAAACATGCATGTCTCAAAAAGTTGCGTTGAAATAACTCAATTCCCCGTAATCACTAATAAACTGCAATGTTCCCTGAGAGGGGACATCCGAGTGATATGCTAGAATTCCGATGTCCCCTGAGAGGGGACAGCGGAGTGCAAAGGGTTAATATCCCTTTTTTTTTACGAAATTGATGAAACCATTAACAAAGTAGGGCTTCAGAGATCTGTCTTTAATCTGACAATATCTTCTTCCTCTGCCTTTATTCTGGATCTGATATTCTTCCATGACTGATACCAGTCTGCATTAGCATGGTGTATTTCTTATATCTGACCTAGTAATTGCAGAAGATTCTGTCTTCCTATCCGCCACACCTCAAACTTCACACACTTTCTGTACAGTCTTCAACAACTATTCTTGCATGGCCCTAGCAATGCCTATTCTTGCTTTGCTACTGGGCTGCTTTATTAGACTCCGGAACTACTGCACACTTTCTTGAGAATGTTCAATGTTTCTCTCTCAAGCATGGCTTCTTTTGCTCTGCTGTGCTGTTGCTCTCAGAACCTAATTTCTACTTTCTTCTGTGCCTGTGCTTGGCTGTGTAGGAGTAAGAAGAGGCTTAATTGTCTGCCTTGGTTTCTTGGCAAGAGAGGGATTCTATCTATCTGGCTGAACATCACCCAGAGGAAGCTCCAGGCTGCTTAGAAGACACAATTTCTGGTTCTGGTCAAGTAGCATTATCGAAGGCTCCCGTTTCCTGTCTTCAAAGACCATCTGGGCAAACCTTAACCAGATTAGAACAGGACAGAATTGTGTGAAATGAGACCAGGAAAGCAATGGGCAGAAATTGCTGTGGGCTGTACTGGGCAACAGAAAGTAAATGACATGTATCGATGAAAATAAGAAAGTAGCAGTAGGCTACCAGTTGACCAGCAGGGTAACCACAGGCTATCAGCACTAAAATAGATCTCATGTGGCATTGCAGCAGGAATAAATATCAAAAAGTCTGAAACAATGGATGCAGGCATTTGGTGCGTAATAGACATAGCATTTCAAATCAATAGAAAAAAGATGAAGTATATGATAAATGTTGCTGAAAGAAGTGCAAAGAGGCAGTTAGAACCTACTTCATACCATTCAAAAAATAAATTACTAATAAGTGAAATTATAAATAAATTAGAAAACATTTAATATAGTATTTTAAGGAGAAAGATACCATAAACAAAATTAAAAGACAAAGCAGAGAGTGGGAGAAAATATTTTCCTCACATACACCAAAAGATATTACCCATAATACCTGAAGAATTCCCACAGTCAATTAGAAAACTAAATGCTGCCCTGGTCGGTGTTGTACAGTGGTTGGACCATTGGCCCTCAAACCCAAGGGTCTCAGGTTTGATTCCTGGTCAAGGCCACATACCTGGGTTGCAGGTTCCATCCCCAGCCCCAGTTAGGGCACTTCCTCTCCCTCCCTTCCGCTCTTTCTAAAAATCAATGGCAAAAATATCCTCAGGTGAGGATTAAGAAAACAAGCAAACAACAAAAACCTAAATGCCACCACAGAAAATGAGCCAAGGGATTGAACAGAAAGTTGTAGACAGAGAACTAAAAGCAGCTGAATAACATGAGATGATCAATCTTCCTAATAGATAAAAGGAAATGAAAATAATACAATTGTTTATAAGTCAGATTGACAGATTTTAAAAGATTGATAATACCTTCCTTGTTTCATTTATTCAGAAATATTTATTGAGTGTCTACTATGTGTGGTGCATGGAAAATGATGAGTATAGCAGACCCAATCCCTCTATGTCTTTGGACCACCTCACACCTGTTGGAATGGTCATTATCAGCAAGACAGGTAATAACAAATGTTGGAGAGATGTGGAGAAAGAGGAACCCTCATTCACTGCTGGTGGGAATGTAGACTGGTATAGCCACTATGGAAAACAGTCTGTAGATTCCTCAAAAAATTAAGAATAGAGCTACCATATGGCCCAGCAATACCTCTCCTGTGTATATATCCGAAAAACTAAAAAACATGTATTCACAAAGATATATGCACCACTATGTTTATAGTGGCCAAGACATGGAAACAACCGAAGTATCCTGCAATGGACTGAATAAAGAAGTGGTACATATACACAATGGAATACAGACGGACTACTGAGCCATAAGAAAGGATGAAATACTGCCATTTGCAGCAATATAGATGGACCTTGATGTAGGGAGTGGCTATAGGGTTAAGCCTTGGACTGACCTGTTGGCAAAGCCACAAAAAAGTCCCAGCTTAGAGGGCACAGCCCTCTTAGCATAATTAGGCTTGACCTTATGATGCCCTAGATCTTATCTGGGTAGCTAAGGGGCTGTGGGAGGTGCAGCAAGTGCTGCCAAAACAAGTGAAACTCACAAGAACATTGTAGCTATGGTGACCACTACCTTGTTTACCTCTGGCTATAAAATAAAGCATTAGCTTGCCATCTGGATCTCTCTCTGTGGCCTCAGCCAGCACAGGAAGATCCACCTAGAGACCCAGCTTATCCTCTTTGTCTGTCTTTTCTACATCCTTCACCACCCCCCACTCAGGCTCACCGAACCCTTGGCTGTGCTGGCACGGCACACCTTGAGAATATTATGCTAAGTGAAATAAGCTAAAAACCATATGATTTCACTCATATATGGGATATAAAACTGAAACTTGTGGACACGAACAGCAGTGTGGTGGTTGCTGGAGGGAAGGGGGTGAGTAGTGAAGGAAGTCCTTATATATGGTGATGGGAGATTTGCCCTTGGGTGGTGGGCACACAGTGCAATATCCAGAACTTGTAACATAGAAATCCACATCTGAAACCTGTATAATTGTAATAACCAATGTCACTCCAATGCATTTAATAAAATAAGTAAAATATGGGGCGGGGGGGAGATGTCAGCAGGGTCATGCTCTCTCTGACAGGTGTAGGAAAGAATCCTTGCTTCTGAGGTTCTTAGCAATCCTTGGCATTCCATGGCCAGTAGATATATATCACTTCATTCTCAGTCTCTGTGGTCACATGGCCATATTCTCCCTGTGAGTCTCTTCTCCTCTTATAAGGTCACCACTTACATTAGAATAGAGCTACCATATGGGATAGGGGCCCACCCGACTCTGGTATGACCATATCTTAATAACTAATTATATCTGCAATGACCCTATGTCCAGATAAGGTCATATTCTGAGATACTGGAGCTTAGGACTTCAACATATCTTTTTGGGGGGACACAATTCAATCCATAACAATATATATTCATGATTTTGAAGGACTCACATCTGCCTCACTAATAATTGCAGGACTGGAAGTGGAGGAAGCAGAAGCCAGTGTGCTCTAATTGGAGAGGAAGTGGGAGATGAGGTTACAGACAAACACATGCAAGTCTTTTGATGGTCATACTAGAAAGGGAGCAACACCAAGGTTTGAGGGTTTTTTTTAAGTGGTTTTTATTTTTATTTTTAAAATATTTTTATTCAGAGAGGAAGAGAGAGGGAGAGAGAGAGAAACATCAATGATGAGAGAAGCATTAATCGGCTGCTTCCTGCACACCCTCTACTGGGGATCAAGTCCACAACCCAGGCATGTGCCCTTGACCGGAATTGAACTGGGACCCTTCAGTCTGCAGGCTGACACTCTTATCTACTGAGCCAAACCAGCTAGAGCTTAAGTGGTGTTTTTAAAATAAAACTTTGTTAAAGTTCATATCTGATTCACTAGGTCTTAGATGGGGCCTGAGATTGTGTGATTCTAACATGCTCTCTGGTAAAGAGGATGCTGCTGGTGAACCACGGGAACACTTTGAGGAGCAGGAGGCTAGAGCTCTGAATGTAGTTGTGTGTTCATTTGCCTGATTCCTTCCTAGACGCTGAAGGATAATTCTTCCAGATAATTCCTATTGTCTTACACTGTACCTGTCATATAAAGATCTTTTGAATATATTGAATATATGGAGATGTGTATTTGGCATTATCTACAACTATGAAAAAGTGGGGAGGAACCCTAAAAGCCTAATAACACAAGAATGGATAAGTTAATTAGAGCACAGATATACTCGGAATATTCTTAAGTAATGAAACTGGTCATTTTGAAGTCCGTATAATAGGGGAAATTCCTATGACAAAATTTTAGAAAGCATGGGCGTTTTTACTTACATTATTTTGATTGCCACGGTGTGAAATTATGCATTTGGACAAGAACAGAACAGAAAAAGGAACTTGGATTTGTTGGAGCAACAAGATCATGGATGATCTTTGCATTTAGATTTCTGTCGATGTTATAAAAATTTCAATGTTACACATATGAAAGAAAAGAAATGGATAGTCTCATTGGAAAATCAAAACAGAGATAAGTAACTCCTACGTATAGTAGCTTAGATTATGGATTGTCTATATTGTTCTATAAGCCATATATATAAAGTTATGTATATATAAAACTTTAATTTGCACAATCATTCTTTTATTCTTAGCTGACAGCTTCCCTCTTCCTTTGTCCCTTTTTCCTTCCTTTATTCCCTTTCCTTATGCTTTTGCTCTTCCCTCCCTCTTTTTAAGACATCTCTCCCTTAAGGAATTCCTATTCCCAGTGATATCTCATCAAAGGAGCACATGAATAGCTGACATTATGTAATGCTTTGACATTTGGCATTCCCAAGGCATTACCCCACCCCTGATGCAGAATAAGTTGTCAGAGCATGAAATTGGTATTTTTACATATTCTTAATGTACAGATGTCATTCTGAAAACCATTCACTAGTATGATGATTGCACTCATTGTCTCATTTTCTTTCTATGCCAAGATATGTTCTTGTGATTTCTTTTCTTTTGGGAGTTTCAAAGAGGGAAGACAAAACTTTAATGATCCAACTTACTGATAAACTCTTTCGTCTCTGGCCATTTTTGGCAACCACCCTTTGGGCGCAAGAGCAAAGATGTAACAAGAAGGACCAGGTACGATAGGGAAACACAATCAATGGCCCACTTGATGGTGCCAGGTTCCTCAGCATGTTCCAGTTTACAAGTTTTATAATTCTGTGTTAATCACAGAAATGAATGGCTATGCTTATGGGAGGAAAGACATATGTAAAAATAATAACTTTGTAGAAAATACATCAGGTAAGAACCGGAAGGGACTTAGAGACAGTCCTGTCCATCTTCCCAATAACTCAACAATGCCTTCCTTACTAGGATCCCTGACAGATGAGCGTCCAGTCTCTGTTTGAACACCTTCAGTGATGGACATCTCACTACCTCATGAAGCAACCATTTCATTCTTGAACAGTTGGGAAATGCTGCCCAGCATTCTTTCCCCTTCTAGAAACAGGACCAACTTCCTTTGGGGAACTGCTGCTTCTTCATTCCATGTGGCTTCTGACAGGACACGCAGTGTCGTGCTGCTTCCTGGCCTGTTTGCCCTTATGTCCATTCCCTGCCTTTCCCCCTGCCCCTCTCTGGATTGCAGCAGGGGGTGGGGGGGGGGGTGTGCTGACCCCCACAGGCCCTCAGTCTCAGGCTCCCATTTCAGCTGGGTTTTGATGGGTCTGACCAATGGGAGGCACTGGCTGGAGATTGGAGGGTGAGGAGATGGCTCACTGAAGGTCTGTTCGGGGCTCTCTTCCAGCACGGCCAGAGCAAAGGGCAATGCACAAAAGAAGGGGAGAGTTATATGTATAGTAGAGGGTAGCATCAAGGAGAAAGGTGGACTGGGAAGAAAGGTAGATGAAACTAGATTGGGAGAGCCCAGAGTCTGGAGCCAGATTGTACGCTTTGAATCCCAGCTGGGCATTTTTTTAAAAATTCCATCTTTATTGTTGAAAGTATTACATATGTCCCCCTTTCCCCCCCCCCCCCATTGACCCCTTCTAGCCCACCCCAGTCCCCTGATCCCAGCTGGGCAGTTTACAATCTATATGACCTTGAGCATGTTACTTAACCTCTCTGCTTTAGTTTTCTCCTTTGTAAAATACGGATGATTCTAGTATGTACAGGATAGTACATGCCTTGTGGGGCTTTTGCAAAGATACACTGAATTAAAATGTGGGAAGTGCTTAGAACAGAGCCTGGCACATAGCAAATGCTATATATGTGTTAGCTGCTGCTGCTGCTGCTGCTGCTGCTGCTGGTGGTGTCATTCTGAGGGTTACCTGATTTTAGCCCCTGGGTTTGAGTACAGTTCTTAGAATGTGTCACAAGATCTCTGATGTTTCTAATGCAACCCGTGCAACACAGATTCCTCTCCCCCAGAATAACCTGGCTTGCTCATGAAACCTGAATATGGAGGGTGTGTGTATAAAGCGAGGCAGAGCAAAGGCATTACCTTGCCTCTGTTACAAGGCAACCATAAAGTAATCCATGACAAAGTAGAGAGGACACAGACCTCGGGATCCCGAAACCTGGCTTCTGACCTGAGCCCTACCTCTAATTCAGTAGGTGACCTTGGACACCTCCCTTCCGTTCTCTGGACTTCAGTTGGACTCTCTATAAAATGATGGGGGTGGGGGGAGGATTCTGACGGTCTTAGGGGCTCTCTTCCAGCTCTATCATTCTGTGATTCTAAATCCCCTTATAACAAACTGGAGGAGAGGAGCTTTGCTCTTGCAAATGGAGTGTAAAGTTAATCCTGCCTGTGCCGAGGCTAACTACTGTGCGTGTGTGGTTTATCCTACTTCATTAAACCCTGACTCCCCACAGAGCAGGCATAAGGCAGCCCAGGCAGGTAATACTAAAGTGTTGCTGAACTGGGTCTCCTAATGGAAAATGATTTCCCCTCACTCTTTCTGGAGTTTAGAAACACAAAGCCTGTAACTCCCATTTTCTACCCTGATGCTTTGCCTCACGTGTAGATTCAGACCCCATCAGAGGTATAGCAAACTGGGTCCTGGTACCTTATGTATGTGCACACTCCCTGGGCGCCCCTCGCCCACCCTCCAGTTCTGCAGACTACATCATCAGTTTTCAAATGAAGAAACTGAAGCTCAAACACGTTAGCAGACTTGCTGGGGGAGGCACAGGGAGTTGTGTGTGAGGGCAGTGCTCACTAAGGGGTGAAAAAAAAGGAAGGTAATTGGGAACCTCTGAGGCAATGTCCCCAAGTGAAAAATTTCCCCAAAGATCCTTATCTTTTCTAAAATGTCTTGCAGAATTCCAGGTCAGTTTTCCGAAGACTAGAAGAGAGCACCTAGTGGGTTGCTGGCTCAATCTCTAGTGTGGGGGTGTGTGTGCAGGAGGCAGCCCCTCAATGATTCTCATCACTGACGTTTCTATCTCTCTTTCCCTCTCCCTTCCTCTCTGAAATCAATAACGATATATATTTTTTTAAAAAGAACAGAGCTTGTCATGAAGGCTGGACCCCAGTTTTTTTATCAGCTAGACAGACAGTTATCTAAGTCTATGAATGTCCCATGAAAATCAGCTGGGGAGCTTCGAATATATATCTATATGGCCAAGCTGTTCTACTCATTCCCAGTTCTACTTAAACTTCAATCCCTGGGGCCTGGAGTCCAAGAATCTGTATTTTTACCACAACCTCAATTGTTCAGGAGAGAACTGAGCCAGGCTGCATATCTAAGAGCCTTGGTATATTCATGGTCCCCCCCACCAATACTGTTTTCGTGGTTACCATGTTTTATTTTTTGAAGCAGCTTAAAAGATCCCTAGCCACACTGCAAGGCATTCAGATTTGTGCAATGTTTACAATGACTTTGTTGTTCATTAAACAAATTTACCCAGACTAACCCAACATGAAAGCAATCATCTTATTTACAGTGAGCTCCTGACAAAAATATGTGTAGCAAAGACAGACAAACACACATAAACCTGGCTTGCCAGTGGGACATAATTTGCTGCCACATCCAATTTTTCTCATTAGAACTTGTTTTATTTGAACGTAACTCAGTACCCCGTGTAAATGTGAGGTTGTTAATCTTATTACTATATGGAAAACAAATTAATTAGTATGCATGCTATTGGAGATGAGTTGTAAGGTTGGTGTTGGAAAGATTAGGAAAATACACTCATTACTTCAAATGATATCTGATATACATGTCTGACTTCCACTTTAAGATCGGTTCCATTATATGGACAACAAATACAGCTAATAAAAATCAAGCTTTTAAAAAAAAAAATCAAGCTTTTGTGCTCAGCATCTAAATGTTGGGTTTGACCGGATACAGACATGCTGCCCCTTTTTTGTTTTAAAACGAAGGTCGTGGGATGAATAACTGCTTGTCACTATTTCTCAGCTGAGACTCAGCTGCTGCAGGCACCTTCTCAGGGTCCAGCTTCCATCCCAAACCGAGCCAGGTGAGAGTGATCTTCTCTTCCTACGGGCTCTTCCCTGAGCACTTCTTCCTGTCGTCTTGTACCGGTCATAATGAACGCATCTTCTTTTTCAGGGCACTGGGTGTTTCTTGAGGGTGGAGAATATATTTCAATTGGAGATTCAAATATTGATCAGAATACAATGCGACAGAAAATATATATGTAAAGAATGAGAAAGCTCTTTATTTGCCAATGTGAAATAATCACCAAGATATATTGCCAAGTGTACGCCTGTGGACTGCCTCTGGAAGTATGCTGGTAACATGGGTTCCCAGATTACCAGGGAGGGGACCTGTGGTTGAGAGGCAGAGGTAGGAACAGCCTTTTCCTCGGGTTCCTTTTGTACCTTTTGAGTTTGTCATACATATGCACTACCAAGCCAAAAAGAAAATCTATTAAAAATCAAGTACTTGCTCAAAATCAAAAAACACCAACCATGGCAGTGTGACTCATTTGGTTGAGCATCGTCCCATACTCCAAAAGGTGAAGGGTTCGAGTCCCAGTCAGGGCACATGCCCAGGATGTGTACAGGAGGCAACCGATCAATGTTTCTCTCTTGCATCAACATTTCTCTCTTCTCCCTTTCTCTCTCTCTAAAAATCAATAAAAACATATTTTAAAATAATAATAAAATAAATTTTTAACACCAAAAAATAAAGCAATTTAAAAAAAAAGGTATTTGGAGTGTTAAAGACTTCAGGAAGTCCTTTAATAAATAAACCTGTTTTATTTGAACTCAGTGTTACCAGACTTACTTCACCAGGGAACTCCAAAAGAAAACATAAGGTAGCCAGTGTTTGCCAAAGGTTTTGACCCTGAAGTCCTTTACAAAAATATCCACCTATTACTATCTCACAAAGCACAAATGACCCACTAATGTGCTCCAGGCAACATGTTAAACCAGCAGGTGGAAAAAAGGTAGATATTGACTCTACTGCCAACTTCATGGAAGAACCTGGCCAAGTCCTCTCTTCTCTGAGCCTCAGTTTTGTCATCTCTAAAATAAGCCAGCTGTACGAGGTCATCTCTGGAGCTCCTTCCAGCTCTAGAGCTCTGGCAGGAATACATTAAAGACCTCCCCCACAGAGAGCCCATGCTTTGAGTAACAATTGGAGGCAAGGAGGTCTGTTAAAAGAAGTTACAAATGTAACTGATGTGGATGTATTTTCAAAAAACTCAGGGATCAAAAACAAACAAACAGCCAAAGATATTCCAGGAGGTTATAAGAAACCAATGCAATCATCTTTGGTTCACTTCAGCTCTGAGACTGCCAAGTCTCAGCACTCCCACTTATTCACTTGTGTGTCCTTGGGTAAAGGTCTGAGTTGAGGGTTTCCTCAGCTATAAAGTGGGTATAACAATTGCTTTGCTGCTTTCCTCAAATTCTTGGTAAAGGCGTTTAATTCATCACAATAACAGAGATACGAGAGTAGAAAATTGATGACAGGTTTGTCAAACCATTTATTTAACAAGTAAAAATGTCGCTTATCAAATTATCTTTCATTTATCAGTAGAATGCCCTTGGTTGGGGCATGAAGGTAGTATGAAATTATCATACCCATTATTAGAGGCACAATACATTTTTAAAAGCCTTTTACAAAGTGACTTGTCACTATATATCAAGAACCATATAGGAATTCAGGCCCTCTGACTCAGCAAATCCAAATCTGGGGATTTTAGGAAATTTAAAAGAAAAAAGTGAGAGGTATGAAAGTTGCACTTTGGGATTATCTGTAATAGTGTTAAGTTGAATCCTTCTAAATATACAATACTAGGGAGTGCTATATCCACTTAAAAGAGTATTAAGCAACCATTAAAATAATTATGAAGACATTTATTTTTAAATCATAATTATAAAGGCCATGTGGAATTATAATGATAAACTGTTAAGTGAGAAAACTGAATACAAAGCTGTAACTATACTAATAAATTACCTGTGTGAATTTTGCCAGCATGTAAAGACAAGAGGAACAATGAATTGTTCATTTGTCAGGATGGTAAGATTATAGATATTTTTTTTCCTTTTAATATCCTTTATTGTTATAACTTTGTGAACTAAATAAAAATGTGGAAAAAATACAATGAAAGTAACAGATAGGTAATTTTGTTGTATTCTTTGTAAATCCTTTCACTGAAGAAAGGGATTAAATGTGGCTTACCGTAGCAAATCATAAAATAAGACCCACATACTGCATTTCCTTCAGACCCTCCTACCCTTCTGAGAAGAAATTAAAATATAAACACCAGAGTTGAGTTTTTAAAATCCAGGATTATCTCATTATTCTATTTAAAACTGTAAAGAAAGAAAATGCCCTCTTTTTTTCTTTTGGATTTAAAGTTTTCTCAGTCAAATTCCATATGTCTGTTCTTCCCCATTAAGGGGGCATGGGTCCCCATTCCTCATGCCTTTCTCAGCCTGTGGGACCTTCACTAGATGTATAGACAGTGGTGGAGAAGATCCAGTCAGATTGAAGAGACCCCAACTGTCTTTGTGAGATGAGCATACTGATTTCTGCCCAGGCTGCCATCTAGGTTTGTAGTCAGGATCCCTTGAGATAAGTGTAGGAAAACATGAAAGTGCTTTGTAAATCCTCCAGAACTGTGTCCAGTGGATCTTTTTTCTTTAGGAGTCGGTGTGGCATAATGTCAGACACACAGGGGTAGAATCTGGGTGAGAGTGAGCATCTGGGAGAGAGGAGGAGTGGGTTCTAGCGAAGTGGTTAGTGTTAGCAGTTAGGAAATGTGAGCCCTGGCATGGTAGGTCAGTTGGTTAAAGCATCTTCCCATAAGCCAGGGTTATATGCCAGGGTTGCAAGTTCTATCTCCGGTCAGGGCACATACAAAAGGCAACCAATGAATGCATAAATAAGTGGAACAACAAATCAATCAATATCTCTCTCTCCCTCCCTCTCTCTCATCAGTAAAGAGAAAGAAATTTGACTGTGAAGTCAGAACTGACTTTCAAATTCCAGCTCTACCATGGAGCCTCAGAGTTGAGACTTCACTCAGCTCATGGTGATGATGTATATAAAACACAGTGCCCAGTAAGCACTCAAGAAATGTCAGTTAATCTCATTAGCCCAATAATGAGATTATTTGTCCAATAATATTTAGTTTAGATATCGGTCTGAGCAGATATCTTCACAGGGACCTTCACTGTGACACCTTGTTTGTTTTTCCCTGAGGCAATGACCCCCAAAGGGCAGAATTAGGACCAGTGGGTAGAAGTTACCAGTGGATGGAAGCTGATGTGTGCTCAATGAGGGAAAGAACTTCCTGGCAGCCATTCCATAATACCAATTCCATAGAGACTAGTGAACTCGCTGTGCCTGGAGGTATTCAAGCTCAAACTTAGTAACTATTTAAAGGGATGCTGTAAAAAGACCAGCCTAGACACAGCTACCAGTAATAAAATTTAATGAGACTCAATATCCCAAGTTTCTGTGCTATCAGCGAACTATTTATTGATTTATTATTACTTTAGCAATACATTAATTGATGTACTTGTGCCATCTTCAAGGCATTGGCCTATTCTAATTCCTCTCTGAAGAGAATGCCCATGGAAGTCTCCTGGGGTTAGAGGCTGATGGAGAATCAGACAGAACACATGACCTATGACTAGTCTTTCTGAACCTTCTTTCCCACAGTGTCATTCCACAATGTACATGTGGTATAGTAGAGTTCACCTCATTAATGCATTATATTGACTGCAATTCTGTCTTCTCATTTCCCTCTAGGACCTGAGGTTTTCTTCTCCTTTCAGCTCTGCCCAGCTGTGTTTTTCCCCCAGCAATTCTAGATCCGACATTGCCTTTTCAGAAATTTAGCAGCAGTATCATGACAGCTGTTAACCTATGGCTCTCAGATGTGCTTGAGTTGAATTTTTTGTTCTTTGCTTTCTTATAGTGCTGGCAAAGGATACTTCAAAAAGAACCGCACAATTTTTCAACACATGAGTACTGTTGGCCTCTTCCTATACAAACCTTCACTCATAGCTCCTGTCAAATGCTGGTCATCGACTCTTCTACCAAAGGAGAAATATATTGAGCCAACTAAAAAAATATTTTCTTTAAACAGCATTCAGAAATCCAAACCCAAGGTAACGATACTTCATGAAGCAAGTGCCAGGCTATTAGATGATTTGGTCCTCACAACAGCCCTGAGAGGTAGGTTGAGTAGGTGGCAATTAATCTCCCCGTGAGATAGGTTAGAAAACTGAGGGACAGAGAGGTGAAATCATACTGTTCGGATGTGATACAGAAGAAAGCATGACCTATGCACTGCAGAAGCCCAGTCCAGAGAGGATTTCCCCTTCACCACATGCCTTTATTCATCACTCACCTCCAAGGAGCATCTTTTATGTACAAGTCCTGTATTTTGCTGGGGTTGCAGAGGTGGACCAGATGCTCTCCCTGCTCTTGTGAGAGAAGAGAAAGACAAAAATTGCTATGATAGTGTGACAATGACATTAGCAGAAATGGGAAACCTAGTGGGAACCTGATGTGCTCACTCAGGGAGTACCCTAGGCATAAGGCAGACACAAAAGCCCCAAAGCAGGCGGCAGTGACCTCTGCTTAGCCAGAGAGGCTAGGCAAGAAGGAGGGCCTTGCAAAGCTCAGAAGGTAGTTCAGATGTCCCCATGGGTACCACCTGGGAGGGGTGGCTCAGCGGTTCAAACGGTGAGATTGCTCTAATGCAGTTCTTACTATATCTCCTCGGGGACATCATTTCTCAGCTGGGAAAACTGACTATCCTCCTGCTCTGCCAATTCCTAAAGAGGCCAAACATGTTCTGTCTTTAAGCCATTGCTCATACTGAGCCCTTGGTCTATGGCACCCTTCTGCCCATCTTTTCCAACTCAGTCTTCCAGGCTTAGATCAAATACCACCTCCCTGAAGTCTTCATAGATTCCCCCTAGCAGAAAAGGATTCCTCCTTCATTTTCCTAGTTGTATTTAATTAAAAGACTTAAACTATAGGGTTA